GCATAAATTCCAGGCTTGGGGACAATTGAAGAAATTGCCCAGAGCCATGATGGAGTGTCTTATTCATGGATAAACAAGGAGGCAAGTATTCCTAGAACAAAGAGTTCATGGCAGTGAGTAAGATGCAAGAAGCCTAGAAAGGTGGGGGTGGAGTGGGGTGAGGGTTGGTTATGAAGGACTTTAGATGCCAAACAGAGGATTTTATATTTAATCCTAGAGGAATGTTATAGAGAACCACTGGAATCTATTGAGTCGAGGAGTGACCTGTTCACACCTGCACTTTAGGAAAATCACTTGGGTGGCTGAAAGGAGGGTAGATTGAAGAGGAAGAGACTTGAGACAAGCAATGGGTCTGCTCTAGAGTGCTAGTAGTGTCAGAGGGGAGAAGGGGGCTTATTTGAGAGATATTGCAAAGATGCAAAAAATAGTATATTAAAAATATGAATTGGGGAACACCTTCGTTAAATCTCTCTCCTTTGCCTCAGAAAGTACTTCATAAACTTGAAAAATCTGTATGAATATTTCTTCTTTATTTTGATGATTGAGTGTTATTTCAAGGCTAGGTTCTTATATACACACAAATGTGGGTATTTGTCACAAATGAACACAGGAGTGCACTGGTAAATGTTTTACAACATGGCTGGGGGAGGGAAGAGAATATAAGTACATTCACTTTGAAGTTTAATATGCATTAACACTTAAGAGGTGGTAAACTGGGGGGTAGGAAGGAGGAAGTAGAAGAAAGGAAGGGATGAGCTCTTGTTCACATACGCTTCTTGCCTACCTACCTAATCATTTCTCCCCTGCCTTCTCTACCTGCTCTTCCTCTGCCTCCAGTCCCTCAAATGCAGATTTCTTCAAGATTTTGTTCTAAGGTCTTTTCTCCTCTCTCCACTCATTTCTACTTCCTATGTAAACTATTTCAATAGCCTGTGAATTATTCTTACAGTCTGTTTGCCCTCCAAGTGATCCTGTATATTACTACCTGATATTATGACCATATTATTCCTCTATACTTCGTTTTAGGATTGCAGCCAGAATGTTTCAAAGAGGAAAGACAGTAGAAAAGACATTCAGGGCAATCTTTAAAATAACCATTTGATAACTCTGCAAAGATTCTGGGGGACAGGAAAATAAATCTCTAAGGACCTCTTTTCCTCCTTCTGTGTTATTAGGATAGATCAGTCATGACCACAATAATAGCTTTACTTTTCTGTCCCTAAGTGCCCATCTGTCCCTCAGCAGTGGGAGATAAGATCCTAGAATTTAGAGTTAAAAATAAAGATAAAGATAACCTAATCCAGCACTCTTATTTTATAAGAGAAAAAAAAAAACAGGCTCACAAAGGTTTAGTGCCCCATGTTACTTGTCCCAGGTAAGTAAATAAGTCAGAATTTAAACCCAGGTCCCCCGATTCTAAACTCAGGGCTCTTTCCATTACTTTGTTAAATGGATGGGGCAGGGGTGATGGAATGAAATGGTCTCAAAGATACTTCTCTTAAAATTTTAAAAATGTGCTGTTAAAATTTTGGTATGTATCATCTACTCCCTCTTCCCAAGACCAGGGCAAGTAGCTTGACAACAAAGTACGAATTGATTATTTTAAAATATCTGAGCTTGCCATGTAAGTTAATCTAAATGAGCCAAAATTTTTGCAAGAGGTATGTGCATTTGAACTTTCTTTTTTCAAATCAAATTATCAAATGTTTATTGAGCACTGCTCCATTTTCTATGGAAAATACAAAGGAATTTGATACATGGACCCTATCTCCATGGCTCCTACACTCTTATAAGAATAAATCATTGTAAACAAAAATACTCACACATGGCTTAAAGCAATTGAACTAGTTCAAGCTTTCTATTCAACAACATGGAACCCCAGAATATCAGACCTAAAAGAGTATGAGGAGAATGCATGGTGAGAAACACCAATAGCCCTGCTATGCTCCAGAATAGATTACAGGTGGTAGATAACTTATCTAATCGAGGTCATTTATTTTACACTTGTGTCAGAGGTTACTTCCTTATGCAAAAAAAGCTAACATGCTTTGAGAAACTTTACTTCTCTGGCTTATTTCCCTCACCCAAATCTGAAAGCTTTAGTATCTGACTTCAAGGGGAATCCCTGGCTCCCCCTGATAATCACACTGCCTGATAAAACTGAACAATTTTATTACATTTTAATCGATACAGGGCACGCATTTGAGCCCCAGGAAACAACATATGAAGGAAGATTCTATCTGTATCCAGAAAAAGAACTGATAAATAGATGTATAAAAATGATTTACATATATGTATATACGTGTGTATACACATACACACATACATACATACATACATACATACATACGTACGTAATTTCTGTCTAATGGTAGCCATCTCTAGGGTGGGGGAGAGGAAGAAGAAAGTGAAAAAATTTACATGATAACTTTATTATATATTTAATAATATATGTATTATATATATATTTAAAAGGAATAGCAAGTTGTACATAATAGATTTGCAGTTTCATGGGCAATCAACTTTTTTTATACTATGTTATGGAAATGCTTGTTTTATTCCATAAATTAATAATAAAATAAATAAAAAATTTAAAAATAAAGTTACAGCACTCATTAATGGGGGACTCCTTCCTCAGAGACCTGTTTCATCTCCCTGACTTTCCTGGGCATGGTTCCAGAAGCAGGCTGGCTGGGTTGACTCCTTCACAATGGAATTCCTTCTCACAGTTCTTTTGTCTGACTGAGCAGCTCTCCTCATTTTGGACAACTTTCACATCCGAACACTCTCAACGGGTGTCCTCATCTGCTGCTCCCTGTCACTGTCATCTGCTTCTTTGCTTCCTGTGCTGTCCTTTTCTACCAGCAGGTGGTATCTGTAACATCTGCTTCTCCATTTACTTCTCAGTATGGCTTGGAAAGAATCTGAGAAGACATCTGGTTTAACTCCATTATTTTAATAGGTGAGGAGACTAACATTGAAAGAGGTTAAGTGACTTTTCCAAGGTCATCTATGTTCCTGAGGTCATCCATCTCAACCAATAAGATTCTCTGATTTCAAATCTAATACTTTCCACGGTTTCATGCTGCCTGTCTGCTCTCTGCAACTACCCACAATCTTCCATTTCTGCTATTCTTTCCAGATTTTAACACAACTTGTTTCATTTCTCAGGGAAACAACTTTAATAACTGGCCTGTCAAGAAAGAGCACCCTGGGCATGATTCTATCTTAAATCACATCTCCAAATCGCAGTGCCCATCTTGCTCTAAAGCCTTCTTTTGTATACTGGTCCTCTTAGCCCCAGACCTCACACAAGTTTCAGAGGCTACTGGAAGGAACTGTACCTTGCAGTGGTTTCTTTCTTTCCAATTCAAAGAACAATAGATTTCAAGCTAGATTCCATATAGATTCCTGGTGTCTTGCTACTATTTGAATCCTTTCTTCCCCTCATTAACAGGATTTTTACGGAGCCAGTCTCTAACCTGAGAAAGCTTGGAGCCTCACAAAGCAGGCCTAGAGACAGGAGTGGCTGTAATCAAGTAGTGTAATTAATCAATTTCAGAGTGAGGAATGTTCTCTTAGCTGAAGTAAAGGCACAGGTTATATACTTAAATCACAACTGGGGAAGGAGTAGGTGGAAAGGTGGATTACAAAGAATCATTTAGTGGTTTCCCATGAGAAACCCATAATTTCCACAATGCAACAATTCTGAATCAGGTCTTTGGGGGCTGTGACTACCTCCCCTAAAGTACAGAACCAGAGTTCTATCATGGGAACAGGTTCTACAATCTTTGATTCACTTCATTTAAGGTCCAGTGATTGTGAGCACTGTCAGAGTTTTGATTAATCAGTTTAAGCTGCATTGTGAGTTCTGACTACCAAGCCAGAGAGGCAGCTCTTGAGAAACTAAATTAATAGTGTATTCATTATATATATTGTACAGATGAAGATGAAAATTATAAATTTCTTTCTCACTCTAAGTACATGGATAATGTGTCACTGGCTTAAGTTAGTGCTTCCCTGATGGTTCTAGTTGGCTAGGAGTACATTATACACGCTTTGATTATACTTTTACTTACATTTCCTCTTGGTAACTCATAGGGTTATTCAATTAGCTATAGGACTGCTCACCAAAACAACTAGACAAAATAGGAGGTAGTCATGGAGTTGACTCCTCTTGGAGAAAGATTGCAATGCCCTCCAGACAAAGGTGTTAAAACTGAAGTCTAGGGAGTTGAAGTGAATTGCCTTAGATCATGCTGGTCACCTGTCTCCCAATCCAGTGCTCTTTTCTACAACACTGTCTCAAAGTAATTTTTACTATCATACAGAGAATACTTACCCAGTTCAGAAGTTATAGAAATAATGGGTACTGTATTTAGTACTTCTTCTAGGTAGAATTTTTGACAGGAAACATAAGGAGGAGGTATGTATACAGAGATTAAATTCAAATTAACTAGCATTCCATATGTATTAGGGAATAAATTCACCTGTTCCCCATCAATCCAAATCCTTATTCAGTCTTCCTAATTATCACACACTACTTCAACATCAAATAATGCCAGGAGGCACCTGTTACTCAGTATTGTATCCTCCATTTGATCACCTTAATGGAGTTTTAGATCCAGAAGACTGTTAAAATGCATGTAGAAGGAATGATCTAACATCTAATAAAATACTTCTAGGACCACAATCCTGGCTCATAAAAAGCATCTCTAAAATTACTGTGGCTTGATTCCATGAGCCATTTTCTCCTTCCTATTTGATATCGTAATTGACCTAAATGGGTTTCCTGAAAGGTGATAATTAACTTATTGAATAATTCATGAAACAGTGAACTCTTTTAATATCACAGAATATTCACCAAAACATTATTTTTATCACTTGTTCTTTTTATTGTTGTTGTTGTTGAGTAATTTTTCAGTTATATCCAACTCTTCTTGACCCCATTTGGGGTTTCTTGGCAACAATACTGGAATGGTTTGCCATTTCCTTCTCCAGCTCATTCAGTAGAACACATTCTTACTGAAGATAATTGATTTGGATGTCCTTTCGGATTCACATATAATTAAGAGGTGGAGCTAGAATACACAGAAAACAAACCACCAAGATAAACATCCTGAATTACTGTGCAAACCCAGAAGTATAAATGAGGCTCTTATGTAAATTTTTTTGTATTTCTGAAGATTTCAAGCTTTAGAAGTCTTCAGATTGCAATGGATCGCAAAGGTCTTTACTTCGTGGCATTCGTGCTGATGTTAGGGTTCTCCAGTACAGTTGGTGAATATGTTGGCTTATGTGAGTATATCCTCTCATTTTCTTGCAGTACAGGAAGGACTAGGAAGGGAAGAATAGAATGAGGAGAAGTTATAAGGAACAAGGCAGGGAGGAAATCAAAACAAGGATGGTAATCAAGGAGGTAGTATGCTATCATTTTTAAGTACAGTAAGAAAATTAATGTGGTTCTTAATTTAAAAGATAACTAGGTAGAAGAGGATTTGAGAAACAATTATTTTTAAATGACAAAGTTTTTTTCTTTCTGAGAAAACTTTCAATCAGCAAAATCAGGGGAAATGATGTTAACAAACAATGTATCAAACATTTTAGCCTGTTATTAGTGATATAATCTCGGAGATTGAATACTTGGATGATGAGAAGATGTGCATAGTCAAAAAATGTGGAGGAATAAAAGAATGACTGAAAACATCTCAGCAAAACACAAGTCATTGTGTGGTTTCATTTGTTAAGCTTATGAAAAAGTAACTTAAATTGCTATAGTTTGCTGGGCAGATTAATGTCCAAAACAGTGTTTTACATGTAATTGATATTCTTTAATACACTGTCTAAGAAAAACAGGAGCATGAATAACAACCCTGTCTAAAACCTTATAGTTTAAGACTATTCCATGGACACTTTTGGTGCTTGACTTATAAATACCCATCATCCTTATGGATTTTTTTTCTTTGTTTCTTTTTAGCCATTTACAGTGAAGAAGGATAGTTGAAAGAAGATAGTGTTATTTTAAAGACCTGTTTGATGGAAGCAATGTGTCCTCATAATTTGAATTTAGGATGTTGTAGGATACAAATTTCCCAAAGAAAGAGAAAAATACTTCCCAGGAAATTTAACTCAATTTTTTGTTTGAAACAGCTCCTAGTCAATGTATCATCCCAGCCAAAGAAAGAGTAGATTGTGGTTACCCTCAAGTCACTCCAGAACAGTGCAATAACAGAGGGTGTTGCTTTGATTCCAGCATTCCTGAAGTACCCTGGTGCTTCAAACCTCTTCAAGACACAGGTAACTATTAATGGGGAATCATTTATTAAAAATTTATTAGATTGGAAACATTATGTTAAGAGCTGGGAATACATAGTCTAGAGAGACTTGCTCTGAAGAAACTCACACTTCAATTAGCAGATAAAAGCATAAAGGAAAGTTGAGCTTCATGGCAGATGGAAAGGCCAAGAAGTGCTTAGGATCCAGTAAGCAAAGTGTCAGGGCACATAATAAGGCCCCACATGCCTTGGAGGATAAAAAGAGGCCACACAGACCCCGACCAATGACTGTTGGGACTGTGGTATGGATTGAATCTATGGATTGAAGTGGAGTGGGGATGGGAAGCAGGGGCATCATCAGCTTGGTCTAGTACCCTTAGGATAGGAGAGAGGGAATTATCTATTAAAGTAAGTGTGAAAGTATGGATTCTTGGATTTGGAAGGGAAATCAGAGGACTCATTTCTGAACAAGAATCAGTATTCTTAACAAGTAGTCTTCAAGCCTTCACTTGAAAACCTCCATAAATAGAGGATATATAATAACCAGTTTCAATTTTGGGCAACTCTAATTGGAACTTCCTCCTAATGGAGACCCAAATATCAGGGCACTTGAGATGAAGTGCCACACCCTTTCATTAGCCTGATCATATCCCATATGTTTCATCCTAAGAAGTTTTAGATCAAGCAGTCATCTTCCTTTCTTTTCATAAGTACTTTGTGCTTTTAAAAAAATTACCTTTTTTTTTTTTTCAAAATCCTTCAAGTGACAGTTAGATGGAGTATTGTCTTGTTGGATGCTTTGCATTGAAAATAAAAGATTCAGAGATTTCTAAATGTGAGCAATACCTTTGTGATCATCTATTCTAGTCTAATACTCCCATCTTATAGATGTGAAAAACTAAGGCTTAGACAAGTTAGACCATAGGTAGTGGCAAAGTCAGGAATTTGTATTTAGATTCTATATGTACAATGCTCCTTTCATTGGGAAGTTTTGGCATATCTCAACTCTCCTAATCAGATTGCTACTTAATTTCCTTATTTACTTATAAAATTGATCTTGATAAGTAGCTAGTAAGTGCTAAAGTAGAGATTAAAACTCCATTGCTCTTGGCGCTAAACAATATTCTCTTTCATAACCTAAAGTAGGTCAGTTATTTTCTCAAGGTGCCCAAACCCTCAGCAAGCTATTGTCATTCCTTGTCATTACTGTACAGAAGATGTAGTTGCATCCTGGAAATTAGTATATGATAGGACTCCTTGTAAATATAGCCTTATTCTTTCTGGCTCAGAGAAAAGTGTTAGGACATATTGTCCTTTTAACCTCCCCTTGGTATAGTATGTATATATACATACTATATGTATAGTATGAGACAGATGGTTGTAGATTACAGTATCATTTGATAGATCAGGCAAATGATCAATTTTTAATGAATTAACATTCAATTTATTATCTGCCCTTATTGCTTTCCTGTCAAAAAATGAGAAGTTTCAATTACAGCTAATTCTTGTCTCCTCCAATCTAAGTGGGGGAACATGATTGGTGGCTAATCAAGTATCAAACCAACGAAGCCTAATGATAAAGGGTAGGATAAAGGACAATTGGAGGGAATTGGGGGGACATCCTCTATTTCATTTTTAAGCCCTTCTTGAAGAACCCTTTTGTCCTTTATTCAGTGGACACATATGTTTAGGATACTAGTCCCATATCTTACCTAAGATTCATTATCATCACCATCATCATCATCATCATTATCACCAGCCATATGCCATCTGTTGTCTTGCTTAGCTATCTTATCTTGCTAAATGAGTATTCTTTAAGATTTCAAAATGGGTGTTATTCCAAGGCAGTAAATGTTATAGTTCTCAAATAACATTTGAAGACAAAAATACTACTACTGTGCTTATCATTGAATATGAGTCTGAAAGTTTGCTTTGGCTCCTGACAAGTTTGAAATCTGGTAAGAAGATAATGATAATACCACTTATTCAACTATTTTTTTTTAATTTTTAGAATGCATATTTTAATGTGAAGATGTCTTCTCCTGGATATCATCAGACAAATCAGTAATCAAGTCTTTGTAATTTGTACAACATTCTCAGATGATTATTGCATTTTGTAATCTAATATCAGCTTTTTAATCCAGAGAACTTTAGTTTAAAAGGTTCATGTTGAATTTGTGAAGAGTATATCTTAAAGAATTAAAATGGTATACTTAGCATATACACAATTGTTTATTACTTAGAGACTTCCTTTCTTAAAAAGTGACTGCAGTCTTTTACTCAGATTTTTAAAAAGAAGTTGTGGGGATCGTGAGATTGTATTTTTGAACAGAAAGTTACCACTGAAGCTTGGTGGCAAAGACTCAGTCTGCCTGGTTTGTTTTTTTTTATTGCCTTTTTTTTCTCCTTTAATTCTTGTTTTCATGTCTAATTGTACATGTAATATGGACTTTAACTTTGTGAATGGACTAAAATCCTTTTTGGAAGCATGAGGGAATATAAACAATAAGTAAATCATAATAACAATGTTGGCGATTAAATATAAAAATATTCTGAAGAGAAATCTTTCACATCCATGTGTTCCACCTGTATGGTTAAGAAAATAGTCATTGACCTAAGATGACCATTTACAGTAAGTAAAGCCATTAAGAATGTACATTTAATATTTTAGTTTTCAAAATGATAATTACCAATATATATATGCATGTACATATAGGAATGTATCTTCCAATATAGTATATATTAATACCTATAAATATAATATATGCAATATCGTATATGTATTACATGTGGAAGAGGACAAGAAAATGGAATGTTCTCCTGAATTAGTAACCTGGCTGAATTTTTTTCAAAGTTAGTTAAGTGGTTTTGAAATATTTTTAGATGTCCCTCAATTATAATAAAAAATAAAATTACGTAACTATAATTGAATGAATAAGCAGATATTTTGTTGTATACTCATGAAGTCTGAGTGACATTTTCCAGTTTCTAAATTTTAATAATTCAAAGAAACTATTAGAAATAAGAGAAATAAATGCATATTGAATTATTTTAATTCCAGATATTGCTCTTGCTAAGGATTGTTTTTAAAAATAAAAAATATATATGATTCTAATGTAAAATTCATACCACATATATCTTACTTAAATGTGTTTGTATACCACTCATAAGAAAAGCTGGTATATGTGTATGTTACAAAGTGCTTTTTTATCACTTTTGAACCTTATGAAGTAAACTTAGAATAATGAAGTAAACAATTTTTATAACATCTCCCTTCAAACTGAACTCATCTTCCATTCCATATGCTGGGGACCTGCAGCAAAGCAGGGCAGTGCCAGCCAGGTTGATGTTCAGTGAAGATTTTCTGTGCTCTAAGGTTGTTGTGATGACTGTGAAGGCCTAGGAAGAACCCTACAAATGGGCTCTGGTGATACTACTGCTTGGGCTAGCATCCTGGTCACTGTAATTCAAAGAGTCAAAGGAATGGATCACAGTGCTATAAAGTGGCACTTATAGTTCACAGGGCTCACTTTGTCCTCCACTTTACACATACCGCCACCTTCTTTACCTCTCCAGCCATGCATGGGGCTGCCTGATGCCCTGGGGCAACTCCTGTGGACAATCATAACTTACCTGAGCCTCAATGATTAATGTACTTCAACCCCATTATATACACCCTATGGCTAGGATTGTGATTCCCTCATTGTTTGCCATCCTCCACTGCCTGCTTTCTTCTTATTCCCTTCAACCCAGCCTCCCACCCCAAAACTGCCTAGTTCTTCCACTATGCTCTCTGGAATCCCTCCTTTATAGGTAACAAACTGGATTTCATCTTAAACTTTCTCATTTTTTGCTCACTCCATTTTCTTGAACTCATTAAAACCTGGCTCCCTCCTGATGACACAGTTTCTCTGACTAACCTTTCCAGTGCGGGTGGCACTTTCATTCATACCACCCTCCTCCCTTACCCCCACACGTATATACTGGTCTTGGTAGGGGAGATAGCTAACTCTGTTTCCTATTACCACTTCCAGGCTCTCCGTATACCATCAGTAGTAACTTCTCCTGTGAGGTTCATTTAATACCTATTTATTATCTAATCAAGGTTCTGCTAGTTATTGTTTGTAGACCTCCAGGACACTTTCAATAAGTTTAGTACCTGGTTCACAGTCTTTTTCTCCTCCCCAACTCCTGCTCTCTAGCAAAGGAGTGTTAAACTCAAATAGAAACACTGAACTATGTATAAAGATTCTTGCTGGCTGCATATTGACTTAGCTTTATAATGCAATGTCAATGCTTTATTGTATTTTTAATTTATTTTGTTAAATATCTTCCAATTTTAGGCCCCACTCAGGAATATTGTAGGCCAAGTGCAGTGTTTGAGACCTCAGCTCTAGGAGACCTCAATATAAATATTGGTATTCCCTCAAATACTCTGATTTCCCAGTTCCTCAACTTACTCAAAAATTTACTCCTTTACCCCAGAACAACGGCATGTAGAGAATATTTCATGTTCTTGCTTGTAAGCTTCAAAATTCTTTCATCTAATAATAAATTATTGTCATTCCATTGTCTTTCCCTCTGCCTTGCAACTCCAAACCCTGTTCTTCATCCTCATTGTGACTTCCAATTCCTCCACTCATCAGCTCTTTCCCAAGCTCTGTTCTAGCTATATTCTCTTCTCTTCCCCATCTTGACTCCGCAACTATCTTCTTCTGTCTAGTCTCTTGGACCTTTTTACTATTAAAGACCTTGTTCTCACAAATCTTAATGTTAAATTATGCCCATCTGATGCCTTCATTCATACTTTCCTGCTTGTGAATGAAGTTGTAGCAAATCAGGAAGCTATGCTGATTGGGTCCACTACAAATTTGTATTACATAACCATAATTGAGGCCTCAATATGGCAAGGAAATTCCTTTCTGCCTCCCTAATCAATTCATTATCCCATTCACCATAACATCTTTACTGGACCTCTTTGTCCTTCTTCAAACTTCCCATAGCTCCCCTTAATCCCACCTTTCCAGTTGAGAACTTTGCCTCATATGCTACAGAAAAAAATGAGGCCCTTCACAATGAGCTCCTTTGTTTTACCTCATTTTGATATAGTCAGATGTCTTTTGCATCCCATGAAGAGGTGGCCTTTCTTCTTACCAATGTAAACTCCTCTACATGTACAAGTGATCTCATTCTATTCCATCTTCTCTAGTAGTTTTATTCCTCTGTTATCCCCACTTTCATAGTAATCTGCAATCATTCCCTGTCTACTGGCTACTTCTCTGATGCCTACAAACATGCCCATGTTTTCTCCACCCTTAAAAAAAATCACTTGATCCTTTCATTTCTGGTAGTTATCTAATATCTCTCTTCCTTTTTGAGGCTAAAGTTCTTAAGAAGGCTGTCTACAATAGGTGCCTCCACTTCCTTTTCTCTCACTTGCTTCTTAACTCTTTGCAGTCTGGCTTCTGACCTCATCATTCACCTAAAACTGTCCTTACCATGTTACTAATGATCTCTTAATTGCCAAATTTAATGACCTTTACTCAATCTTCAGCCTTCTTGACCTCTCTGCAACTTTTGACACTGTTGATTACCTTCTTCTGTTTAATACTATCTTCCCTCTAAGTTTTCATGACTCTGATCTTTCTGGATTCTCCCCTTACCTGTTGGATTGCTTCTTCTCTTTCTCCTTTGCAGGACCTTCATCCATGTCACTTTGGCTAATCATGGGTTTCCCCCAAGGCTGTGCCCTAGGTTCTCCTCTCTTCTCTCTCTATACTATATCACTATGCTCTATCTCAGGCTCACATAGTTTCAATCCTCATCTAGATAGATGAAGTTCAGATCTATTTATCTAGGCCTAACCTTTCCCCAATCTCCAGTTTTCTATTTCCAACTCTCTATTAGATATCTCAAACCGGATATCCCATAAACATCCTAAACGCAACATGTTTAAAATTGAATTCATAATCTTTCCCACTAAACATTTTCCTAACTTCTTTGTTATTGTCAAGGTACCACTATCCTCCCGGTCATCTAGACTCACAACCTAGGTGTCATCTTGACTCTTCACTCCCATATCTCAGTTTTACCTCCCAAATCTAATCAGTTGTCAAGTACTGTTATTTCTACTTTCATAATACCTTTCCTACACAGCTCTTTTTCTCCTCTGATACTTAAACTCCTCTAATGCAGGCTCTCATAATCCCATGCCTTCACTATTTCAGTGGACTATCTCTTCCCACTGCAATCCATCCTCTCCTTGTTGTCAAATTGATCTTCCTAAAGCACAAGTCTGACCATATTCCACTTTCCTCCGCAGTCAATAAAGCACAGTCGCTCGCTATTACTTCCAAGATCACATATAAAATCCTTTTTTTATCTTTCAAAGTTCTTTATAACCTGGACCCTTCCTACCTTTCCAATCTTCTTATATCTTACTCCCCTCCACATATCCTACAATCCATTGATACTCACCTCCTTTCTATTCCTCTTATTTAACACATAGAAAGAGCTTAATCAATGCTAGTTGATCGGTTGACTAAATGGTGGGCCAAAGGGTTGTAGGCTAGCCTAGTTGGAACTGCTGTCATCCTTTCCCTGAGATGAGGACCTTAACTCTCCCTTTACTAAAAAAAATTCTGTATTTTCCATGCATTTAATTCTATGCAATTCCATGCATGCATCTTCTCCCATTTGCTTCCTCTCAAAACCTCTTCATATCATTATCTTTCCCCCTAAACTCTCCCCCCTTCCTAACTTCTTTATTACTATAGAGAGAAAGACCATCATCCCAGTCCCTCAGGCTCATCACCTAGGCATCATCCTCTACTCTTCAATATCTCCCACCCCATATCCAACTTTTTTTTTTGCCAAACCTCATCTATTTCACCTCTGCAACATCTCTTGAATATTCCTTCCTCTACCTCTGACACTACCATCACTTCACCATTTTATACGTGGACTTTTTTTTTTTAGGCAATTGGGGTTAAGTGACTTGCCCAGGGTCACACAGTTAGTAAGTGTCAAGTGTTTAGTCTGAGGCTGGATTTGAACTCAGGTCCTCCTAACTTCAAGGCCAGTGCTCTTTTCACTGCGCCACCTACCTGCCCCCCCATACTTGGACTTTTGCAATAGCCTACTGGTTAGTGCTCCCT